CACACACACACACACACACACACACACACACCTATTCAACACTGTACATATATCCTTGACCACAGTAAAACTATATAGGTTAACACTCGAAACATCCAACTCAGCTGCCAGTTTAACTGTACATAGACGGCTGCTAATGTTAGCTCCACCAAAACAGGTTTATTGGGGGCAGGTGGGGTTTAGTGTGGGGGTGCTCAACCCTGGCAACCCTCCCATGCTGTTTTTTTCCAGGTGGGATGTTCCCAGGGATCTTATTGACTGCGTGCAACTCAGGTAGCGTTAGCAGTAAAATGATCTGGCTACAACATAGCAGGGAAACTCCCCTTCCAGGTAACATTAGGAAGAAGTAAAGCAGCAGCAATATGTCTGAAATATACATTCACACACATCATCCTCAACACTTTTACCTGAAAGCAGAAATACCAGTTTTGTTGCATGCTTAGCAGAAGCCTTTGTCCTCAGTCATAAACACAAATCTAACAGCTGTTCATTGCAGGTTTGGAGACAGTAACGGTTTTGGATTATTATTCTGCACTCAAGTTCACTGTACAACAACTAAACTCTCACCGACCTATCACTGTGCCCTTGTGCTGAGGCAGTGAAACGACATGAGCATTACAGGCATCAACAAGTGTCCAGTGAAACTTCCATGAACCTTCCAAGTCTTTCCCCGTAGGAAGACATGAGAAGATGAGTGCACAGCCTTTGCTCTGAACCTTTTCCTTTCTATTCTCTATATTGTCCTCCTCGTCCTTCTCTCTACACAGCAGCTTTGCTTCTGTCCACTGTTCTCTCCACCCCTCTTGTTTGCTGTTCAGTTGCACTCAGAGCACACCTCTGTACACTCAATACCTTTCTCTCATTCCCATCTGTCATTTCCACTGACCCAGATACACACACGTGTGGTCACACGCTCTCTCACACACACACACACACACACACACACACACACACACACACACACACACACTAATAAGAAGGACCTATAATAAAACTGCAGTTGCAAACTCAGTGAACCGCAGTGCGCTCAAAGTGCCCTGTTCCTCTGGAACAACACAGACTTTACAAGCTCTTCACAATCCCAGCCCAGCACTGCACTGCAGACCATCTGCTTGTGTCCTCAAGCCACACACATTACATACCCAGCATGCCCGCCTCATCAGACACCACAATGGGACAAACTTCACCCACCCTTCACTCTCCTCTTTCTCCCTCTCCTTCTCCTTGGCTTTGCGAGACTTGTGCAGGAGTCCGATCAGGATGACCGCGGCCCGGATGCCAGCCTTTTTGTTGTGGATCCGTCCTCCGGTCTGAGACATGCTGGACGTTTCTGCTTGTGCCAACAGGGGTTCTGGTGGCAGCCGGTCCAAGGTCAGGCTCGCTCCAGGGTTCCTGGGCTCCAGGACCTGCTTGGTTGTGGCTTTGCGGGCCTCCAGTTTAAGATGAGGGTGCCACAAACTTGGACCTGTGTGGTTCCCGATTTGCAGACAACTGGCCAAGTTTCAGCCAAACCAAGAACCTGTTTGAATTCTGGTTCTGGTGTCTTAGATCGTTCTGGTCAGATGTTTCAGTGTGAGTCAGAAAAGTTTGAAGAGATTCTGGAGCCACTTCAGGTTTGTCAGATCCAAATCTCAGCTGTTCTTGCTTGAATTACCAATGAGCGTTTATTGTAATCCCAAAAGGTCCAGAGTGTCGCTGCTGGTGGACCTCAGCTCAAGGTGAACTTTTACCTGCACTCCCTGCTCCTGCAGTGAATCTGGACATCGTGGTGCCACAGCACATCATGGTCCCTGATGAGAGGATGAAGAACTGCGCAGCACTCAGACTCGCAGACACACTCACTGTGGCACCGCATCTCTGTCTACCAACCTCTGATGTCCCACCTCTCCCTCCTCCGCTAGCATGCTCTGCTTCTCCTCCCTCCGTCTGCTGCTGCTCTGCTCCCTCCTTCCTGTCTGCTGACACACGCCCTCTTTCATGTGATAGGCTGGAGTTTGTTCAGAGTACCTCCTCCTCTACCTCCTCCTCCTCCTCCTGTGTGACTCCCTCTTCCCCTCCCTGCCCTTGCTTCTGCCTTGTTAATAATTTTACATTAATCTCCCTGACCTTGTTCTATCTGTGCTTGATTTTATGATTTCACTTCTAGACACATGCACGCACGCCCACACCTCCCCACTCCTGCTCACCACACACCCTCAGTGTGAAATCTCAATTCAAACAGGCTTATCAGCCTATTGCCTGCTGTGCTGTTGCCAAGGACATTGGAATTGAATTGTAACCTCACGAAATGAAAGCAGATTAAATGAAACCATGTGAAAAAATTGAATTGCAACAAATTTCACATGGTTCCCTTTGTGCACATTCACATGTGGAAATACGTGACACGTGTTTTCACACTGCATTACTTGTTCTTTTCCTCTTATTATCCTATTCTGCCGTATCCTTTCTCCATGACCTCCAATACAGTTTTGCATTTCCTTAAGATAAACTATGTCCATTGCTTTTCGTTCTTAAGATGAATGTACAGTGTATGCTTTATCTCCAGCTCCAGTCAGAACCAGTTTCTCTAAACATTCTTCTCACAGCTCAGTAAATAAAGCAGCCATCTTCATAGAACATATCGACCTCGAGTTTGTTCCTGTACTTGGCCACCTGTTCTTCTTCCTCCCTGTTTAGAAGCAAGCTAAACAACTCATTGACTGAGTAAGGCGGTGACTGAATGAATGAGTGAATGGATGAATAGCTAATTGACTTACTGTCAAGCTCGCCACATTTAACTTACCTACATGCTGTACAACTTCACCCATTTTCTTCATTGCGCCAAGCAGGTTCATCATTTATTCATTCATGTGACTGTCTCTTCCTTTTGTTCCGTTATCTTTTCATTTACTGGTCTTGCTTGATATCTTGGGATCAAATTTTCTTGTTGTGGGTCAAGGCTCATTTATGCTCATCTTTAGATGCGTATATGGAAACAGATGAAGCCGCCTGCCTCGACTCTGCACTAATTTCATCTGTATTTGTGCGAGACTTATGACATCTTTCAAATATGGACAAAATGGTGCGGTACCACTGGAAATCATGGAGAGGCAGTGTAGCCAGTTGTTCAAGCTGGATGACCATAGAGCATGAGGAAGAAATGTAATTAATGGCAGAACCTTTTGAGGATGGACTCTGGGAGTTGGACACAAACTACTGATGTCACTTCCCCTGCTGGGCACAGGGAGAAACATTTTACAAAGTGGGCACTTTTGCCTCTTTTGCACTGCCCTCTAGTGGTAGTATGGCCAAACAATGACAGTTACATTGTGTGAAACGGACAAAAGTCTTTTCAAACATAAATGCAGCATAATTGAGCCCTAAGATGAACAGACTGATGAAAACATCATACGAAGCCATAGACAGGAAATCTGACCTGGCAACCTCTTTCTCACAATCTTGTTTTTATGCCAGTATTTAACCAGTGGGCTCAATTTTCTCAAATAAAGCTGTTACCTGTGGTCACATTTATGACAGTAAGACCAGAAAATGTGACACCTTTCTGCACTTTTAGAACTGTCTACCTTTCATGCATCTCATTATAAAGCTCTACCGTCTGGCTTTTCTGCATTGATTTCCTCATTTCTCTAATGATTTCATGTTTCTGTATTTTTTCATACCTTCCTGGCCAATGAAACAGGGCCAGACTTGAAAAAATATACTCACTTTCAATTGAAGGTAAAAATAGCTGTGTGAATTATGGGTTGCTATGTAAGTTATGTGGACATAGACATTAAACTACAAAAACAACTTAACAAAAAAACTACATAGTGAATCACATGGCACATCTGGTGGGTGGGGGGGGGGGGGGGTCATCTGGGGGAGTGGTCAACACAATAAAGGGGTAAATGTCATTTGATAGCTGAAATGAACTGTTTCAGACTCTTTGTACAGAAGATAATTGGAGAAATGCTTCATCCAAGACACGAGACAAAGACATCTGAGGAGATGAGATGCTTCAGTAATTGTCCGACAGCAGTCAGGGAATAGATTAAGCTGCAGGAACACCGGCAACAAACACAACAATTAAATGGAATGTCCCGTTTCTCCCCTCATGCAATGCTTTTCCTGTGTGCTTTCAGTGCCATAGCAACCATACAGCCGCTAGAGGATCGGACACAGCCTCGAGTCCTATTGACATAAAAAAACTTGATCGATTTTTGGTTCAAAGTCTTTCTGGATTTTGTTTTTTGCTTTTTTTCAAAACAGCAGTTTGTGATTTTTTTTTGAGTGACACAATCTGTGAACGTGGCTCTATCGCTGAAAACCACCTGAGGATTTTCCCAACTCCTGTGTGAAGGCAAACAAATAAGCTCACACCTCAACTGGACTATCAAATGTCCCCTTGAGATAGACACAAACACATGTTACATGTTATAAGCACACAGACATTTCACTTGGGTCCTTTTGTGCGTCATCAAGGGAAGAAAGGAGACACCTGTATCTATTCACACAAACACTCTACTCTCTTGTCCAACCCCCCCCCCCCCCCCCCCACACACACACACAAACAGGCGTGACATTGTTCTTGCACAACACACTGAGGTGCACCTATACACCCTTGTGCTTGTATCAACACTCAGGAGAGATACGGTCTAATTTCACAAGCTCTAGCGGTGGTTGGAGGTATACAGAGGTATACAGCTAAAGGGTATGGAGTCATTTTATCAGGAATATCATCAGGTGCCATTTCTTTAATTTCACGATTTTTGTTGTGAAGACGTCATGAGCTGCTTTCAGGCCTGCACTGAATCCCAGACATTTCCATGACATTTTCCAGAGGGGCTGTGTGTGAGCCTACAAAGGTCTGAATTAGATTGAGTGAACATTTGACGTTTCTTGCACGTGAACAAAAAACTGGAATAAACGAAAAGAATAAAAATATATCACGATGGAAAAAGGGTTCCATACATGTAGTAGACGCAGACAGTGATGAGAATTTAGAAAGACAACAAGATTTGAGAGCTTTTGGCGTCAAGGGCCGACGCTGGTCTTGATGTGCTGGGAAAAAAACCTTGTGATTACAACTGTGGAATTCATACACTACGGCCTGCCTCCTGCATGTTCTACCCAAGAGCCACCTGTTGTCCGTGTAGTTCATGTCTGAAAACACCTATGGTCATGAAATTGTTGGAAACGTGTAACACGAATGGGTGATCGGTGTTCAAATTTAAAAGAGAAGCAATGATTTTAGAATTCTTGTTGCACAAACCCCCTGTGTGTCTCTCACTGCTGCACACATAGTCACGAACACACACTTGGACGATCCTCTGTGGAGCCAAGCAGCCTCTCCTGTCACTTCACAGCTTCTCAAGTGGCTCCCAAACAAACAGATGCCAGTCTACTTAGTCACCTCTCTATGCAAGTCAGTCTATTACAGGACACATGCATGCACACTCACACACTCACACACACACACACAAACAACAGTTATGTCTCCATGGCATCAGAAGATATTATCTGGACTTACATTAATTTTCTGTAGACTTACTCTTATTTTCCAACCATACCTACCACACACACACATATATATAAATACACACACACACACACACGGACGTGTCTGTGTGATTAGCCTCATAGTAAACAAGAGTATACAGCGTGGCAGTTCCTAAAATAGGTCAAACTTTTATCCACAGGGCCACGTACTCGCCTGCACACACACACGTGCCCACCAAAACACCATGACCTTCACAACTGCTGCTGAGGAACCACTCCCCCCCTCAATACACACAACACTCATGCGCACACACACACACACACACACACACACACTCCCTCTTCCCACTTTCCTCTACAACAAAATCGAGCTCCACAGAATACCAGCAAAGGAGTGGAAGACAACTCACCCTAACACTCACATGTGCAATTTACTTTTTGTTGCTGACAATCTGTGTGTGTCTGTGTGTATACAGGACAAATATGTCAATGGTCCAAAGTGTCTACAGTTTATGGGAAAACAAAGTTCAGAAGATCTGGTTAATGTGCCATAAATAAGAGATTAACTCTGAAATGTCATGTTATTATGGAAATCAAACAACGAGCCCTGAAAGTAAATAAAAGGAAATGTCATCATTTGCTATCTCACATGAGGTCTCACCTTGATGTACTGGATGTGATGTGGGAACAAGATTCTCACGTGTGGAGCATACAGTAAGGTTTAAAACAGGGCATTGACTTTGATTATGTTGGGGGTAAATATGGACTGTAGCTCCATCTCTACACTGACTGTCTCCTTTTTATGGAATCCTCTGTGTGCTCTGGGTGTGTACACACAGTATTCAAATAATTTGTTTTACCTGCGATGATTTGAATGTATCTTTGTTGGACCAGACATCAGTATATTACTCCATTTGTTTCTTTGTTTGCTCTGACTGGTTCATCCTGATGTGTGACAGGTTTATTAAATATTAAGTTAGGTCTCATGTGCTGAAATTCTGTTTGTCACGTTGGCAGCAGGAAGAGATTCCTCCCTCAGTGTCCGTGAGATTTCCATTTGTTGTTATGGAATTAAACTTTCATTATATTACATTAACTAGAAGATAAAACATTTCAATATACCTCCAGATTTTTACTTGGATCTGCACAAAACTGCACACATTTGTAAATATCACCTCCATAAACATTTTTTCCACCAAGATCCCTGAATCATCCTTTGATAAATCAAGGTCTTGGATGGCATAGGCAGTAAAACCTCAGCTCTGGAGAAACATTTATTTTCAGGGCAGAATTTACCAGAGTTACCAGCCTCATACAGTCTACTCTATAACATCTGGATGATAACACAGACACTAATAAGATACTCAAACAGAGAGTGGAGCAAGATCTTCTCTAATCTGAACTGGCAGTGGATTTTGAAAGAAAGCAATCAAAAATGTGATTATCCCGAATTAATATGTTT